GACTGTATTTAAACCTGAGGATTTGCTGACAAGACATAAACTAGCATACAACTTTTGACATAAACATCTTAAGCATTCGGAGTCTCTATGTTTACTTATATAATATTGCTTCACTTATGCATGTTTATTTAATTATGATCTTCTAGTCTATTATATATCATAACACCCTATTTCTTTAAGGAAGCATTGTTTTAGAGAATCATTAAAGAATTATAAGGAAATAATGCAGCTTCTCAATTTCTTCATGAAGTTGGTTGATATCATGACAGGCTTGCTTTACAAAGTTTATTTAGCACTTCCACATTACTTGCATGAGGCTTAAAATTTTATTCTTTTTAAAATTCATCTTTAAAATATCCAAATTAATGCATTAAGCACTAGCAGACCGTAGCAGCTGCAAACCAAGGTGTTGCATGATTGTGTGCTTTTAAACAAATGTTCAAAACATATTAATTCCTCTTAAAGAATTAAAACAGAAAACATTCATGTCTCCCCCCCGATGATGGTAAGTCTGGGGTTTGGTTCAAAGACATACCTGGTCACCTTCACTTCCTTCAGTAAATGGCTTGGTCATGGAGCCAGAAAACATGTATTTAAACATGTGGACAAATCTGTTAAAAGGCCTTATCATTTCATGAATCTTTTTCCAGGCTGTTGAAAACAAGAAAGCAGGCAAGAACAAAAGATAAATTTCAAGCTGGTATGAAAACTTTACAAAGTGATAGAGCCTACATTATATAAAACAGGAGAAAATCTATCCTGGGAAATTACAACATTTTGGTAATGTTATTATAACATTTTGGCAATGTTTCCTGAGCAAGGTGATGATTAAAAATAATACCTAAAGTATATTGAATATTTCCTACCTACCAGGTACTGTGGTAAGGTTATTTCATAAGAACCATATGAAATAGGTACTGTTATGATTCCATTTTACAGATTTAAAAAACTGAAGATGTAAGAAGTTAATTGACAGGTAACTGACAGAGGGAAGGGTCCCTCCAGAGTAAGATTTAACAAGAACCACTCTGGTTTATTTGTAAGTAGAAGCCTTCTAGAACTCTTATTTACTTTTTAAATCGATTGTATTTTTATTTAATACGTATGTGGATTTTTTTTCAGGATGTTAAAGTTTTCATGTTGCCTAGGACTTTAAACAGAGGTCTCAAAAACTGAGAAAAATATAGTAGGTGTCAAGGCTTCTTACATTTTGAATAAAGGTACCAATCTTCCTATGGAGGAAATTCTAAGAGACTGATGAAGGAATTCTCCCAGGATAAGCCTCCTGACAGTTACACAAGAAAAGACAAAGAATTAAATGGAGATTGAAGAAGATGATGATGAGACTATCTTTGTAAAGTTGTGAAAGTGCTGTGACATTTCCCCTCCTCATGGAGAAGGGAGGGTGCATTAGTTATCTATTGCTGCATAACAAATTATCCCACAACAACAAACATTTATTATCTCACACAGTTTCTGCAGTGGCAGGAATTTGGGAGCAGTTTAGCTGAACAGTGCTGCCTCAGAGTTTCTCACCAAGTTGCAGTCAAGATGTCATCTGATTAATTAAGCTGAGGTCACATGCATAGACTCTTGCTATAAGAAGGCTAGAAAAACTGAGTAACTGTCTTTATCACTTTCTGTAAGCAGTGCTCACCACCAAGACACATAGTGGGGAATTCCCCAAACACAGAAAAAGAACTCAAATGATGGACAGCAGAAAATAAAGCCACAAAAATATCAAATGTAAAGTCATCCCTTTGGCTGCCCAACACCAATATAACCACTGCTTTCAATGCTTATACTTCAAAAAAAAGTTGTCACTTAAAATACTGCAACTATCCTTTACACAGTCAAAGATGCACTCACTCTGTCACCCTCCAAAAGAGTCAACCCAATGCTTCGTCAATTACCACATCCATCCTCCATTTCTAAGTCTACAACCTCTAGTTGCTATCTTTTCCTCTGCAACTTACTAAATAATGAATTTACCAACAATAGGACACCCCACATATAATAGTGAAGTAAAGGGTAAAGAAAGAAAAGTTAAAACACTTAAAAGTATACATGATACATCAAGAAAGGAAAGGAAACATGACTGTTCTCATTTCTTCCCCTGATCATGAGAATTTCACTTCCCTTTATGACTTCCTTTTTCCACCAGCTATTCTGTTGTCCCTTTACCTTCAACCAATACCTTCATTTCTAAGGGATCTGAGTGTTTGATGTACCTATCTGTTTAAAGCTATATCAGCAAACCTATTTCTGCTTCATGACCAGGGTTAATTACTTCCACCAAAACCATAACCTTGCTCTTCTTCTCCTTCCTATTCAGTGACACAAAACATGCAAAATGGTGAGGTGGCAGTCCCAGCTCCAAATCAGTAGAACCGTCGTTCAGCCTTGTTGGAGGAATTCCTTTCTTTGGTAACAAACCTCTAAACCAGCAAAGTCCAGAATCTCAGAGAATGGCAGTTTAAAAAATTGTAATTGGGGGACATTAGGTATAATATCCCTTTGTTCCTAAATCCACTAATTTTACCTTTGGAAATGTAGTGGTTTTAAAACATATCCACAAATTCTTTGACATTTCTCCCATTTTAAAAAAAGGAGTCTCCTTAGATATAAGCAGCCTTAGTGATTAAGTTCTATGAATTGAAGGTGGTTGAAGTGACACTGCAGGACTTCTACTGTTAGTTTAGAAAAGGCATTACAGTTCCCACCTGGATTTCTCTCTCCTGGCATGCTTGCCCTTGGAACCCAGCTACTATGTTGTGAGGAGCCAAACAGCACTGTGGAAAGGCCATGAGTAGGTGTTCTGCCCACAGATTCAGCATCAGTCACCAGACATGTAAAGGAGTGGGCCTTTAGATGATTCCAGCTGCCAACTTTTTAGCTGCCCCAACTGGCATCAAGTGGAAAGTAGAACAGAGATAAGCTGTCCCCACTGAGCCCTGCATAAATTACAGATTTGTAGGCAAAGTAAATGTTGAAGTTGCTTTAAACGACTAAGTTTTGGGGTGGTTATACAGCAGTAGATAACAGGAGCAGGAAGAAAGAGTGCCAAATATTGCACACTAGTTCAAAGCATATACTGCATCCTATAAAACAGCATCAAAAAGGGTTATTTTCCAGAAAGCACCATAACTAAGACTTCAATAAGACCAGGTGCTTCTTGGTGATAGACTATACAATTAGACCAATGAATTCTATGGGCAACAGCCCATTGCATTGCTTCTTTCATTACAGAGTGAATTTCTTGATCAGAAGCAATATGGTGTCAGACACAATGACAGTGCATAAAGCATTCAGGAAGTTCCCAGATGGTGGTGCTGACAGAGCACAGCAATCAAGGAAAGCAAATTTAAACTTAGTGTATTTCAGAGAGGACAAATAACTACCACTTCCTCGATGACTGGGAGGGCCAATGGAATCCGCTTGCCTCCAAGTGGTTGGCTGGTCCTCCTGGAGCATGAGGCATATCACCAACTCAGGTGATATGCTAGCAACCTGAACGCTCAGCAGTGGCTTGGTGATCCCATGCACAGCTCCAAACTTGTTATCATCACCATTTCATTCATGAGTCCACTGAGCAATCACTGAGCCTGGAAAAGGAGGCTGAGTTTAATCCACAAAGCTGTTCATTTCATCCATATGATTCTTAAGATTCATTCTGCAAAGTCCATCACCATATCCCTTCCCAAGGCTTCCTTGTCACCAGTTCTCCAAACGTGCTCTTTCCATGTCCTCGACCAACTGGCCAAATAATTAGCCTGGGACCATCAAGACTTATAATTAGTGTCAGGAAAATTTCCTCAGGTCAGACCTTCATCCAGAAAGGTCTAACTGTCCCAGTATAAGAGATGATTTAAACCAGATACTAGAGTGAGCCCCAATTCCTTCAGGATTTGGAATTTAGTCGTCTCTGTCAACATTTTTTTTTTTTTTTTTGCCGTGGGTCATGCGGGATCTTATTTCCCGCCCCCGACAGGGAATCAAAACCATGCCCCCTGCAGTGGAAGCTCAAAGTCTTAACCACTGGATCACGAGGTAAGTCCGGCTGTAAACAATTTTAACTAGTATTTTTTGCCTTCTTATAACATCAGTTTTTTTTTGGCCGCTGAGTCCTAATCAGGACCGCCAGGGAATTCCCTACCTCTTATTTAAACGAACACTGTGCGCCTCCATAAGATGGGGCCACCTCCTTTGCAAACCTTTCTATTTCTCCTCCTTCCAGGCCAGTTTATAATCCTCCGCCTTTTTTAGGTACTTCATGGCAAATATGCCGGTTCCCTTGGCTGCCCACGAATGTTTGAGGGAGTGGAGGTGGAGTCCATGGCGCCCATCTCCAACATTAATTCTTTCAGCGCTTTTCTTATGCCTACTTGGGCCTCTGAGGAGAACAGCGCAAGCCAGGGTCCAGGCCCACACAGAGCTGGATACAGATTGCTCCCTTGGGTCACAAAGTGGCTCTCTCTCCGCCAGCACTATACGCACGCAACGATTTTTAAGTGCTTTTGTCGCACCACAGGGTCACCGGCCGCAGCGACAAAGAGTCCCTGAGAAAAGCTCCACAATGCCTCGGCCAAAGAGGAAGAGGCGGGACATCCGCCCGGTCCAAGCCACTTCCGGAAATGACGTAGGACTGTCAACATGCAAGATGGCGGCCCATCACCGGCAGAACACGGCAGGGCGGAGGAAAGTACAGGTAGGGACCCCGGCTCCTCGACCTCCCGGACGTGGCAGGCATCCCCGGGCCCACCTCCAGCGAGCAGATACCTCGGGCCGCGGTCGGCCGGGGTAGCGGCTTGGGGCGAGCGGGACGGGGCGCGGCCGGCGGCTAGGGGTGGGGCTGCGGCTCTAACGGCTTGAGGAAGGGGCGGGGGGCGGCTGACTGGACCCGCCGGGGCCCCGTCCCGGGACCCTTGGGCGCGCGGTTGGGAGCCTGGGGTTGCCGGTCGTCCACTGTTTCGTAGGCTTGGGCTTGCGTGGTCGGGCTGGGCTCGTTCCCCGCCCATCTGCCTCCCTTCCCTTGCCTGTCTCCCAAGCGCTGTGCCCAGCGGCGTCGGAGCGGAGGCCTGCGGGAGCTTCCCCGCGGGGCGGGCAGCGGAGTGAGTGGGCCCGTGCGGGGGCGTGGCGGGGCTGCGGCTGGGCTGCGGAGCCCTGCAGGGTTTTTGAGCAGGGGTCTGCATGTGGGAGCCCCCTGCCTCCTTTTATGCGTGAGCTTCCCCCCACCCCCAAGGTGGAAATGACGTGGGAGTATGCTTGTGTTAGTGGGGGAATTATAATTTTCATTGTTTTGGAATTTAATTTCGTCTTCACCATTTCTTCTTCAGAGTGCATCCTTGAATCTTTCTTTCTGTTTCTCTAATGTATTATTCAAGGGTAAAGAGTTACCTAACCCGCCCGTGTGTGCTTTATGCCTTCGTGAATCCAGTTTTGTTTTGGGTACGTTTAAGCGTTATTGCTTTCTATTATTTTCAACGATCTGAGGAGTAAAAGCCCTATTACAGGTGTTTACCTGCAGGTATGTTGTATGTAGTGGTGACAGTACGGTGCACTTATTAAACATTTACTGAGCACTTAGTTTAGGCCCCAAAATGTGCAAAGAATTGAGAGAGTACAGGAATAAGTAACACCCAAGCTTTCTTTATAAAACACAGCATTATATATAGTTCTACAGGTTGAAATCAGCCAGTGTTTAATAGGTAGTGCGGACAAGGGGTTCCTTCATTGAGGAAATGGCTGTAGGTCATAAAGTCTTCTGGCCAGTTCACTTCTTTGTTTTATTGATCTCATTGATCAGTACGGTGTCCTAGGCACTCACTTAGATGTTTGTTGAATTGAGTGACATTAATAAGAATCTAAAATAGCATACCTTGTTGGTGATTTTTAAGTGCATCAGTGATGGGATTTAAGTAACCCCAGCATCCAAGTCAGGTGAGAATGTCTGTTCCTGACTAAAATGTAACTCAAAATTGTAACTTGATTATATTCTAGACACTAGAGTGGTAGGTACCTTCCTTAGGGTAGTAAGGAGAGTTAATCAAGTGTCTTAGTTTCTTGCATTTAGACTTAAAAGTCAATATAAAAGTACTGGATGGGGGAAATGTAAATTAGCTGCAGCATGTGTGGAAAAACTGAGTGTTTTAATAAGCTGAATATGAGCCATTGTATGCAGGATGAGGAAGATGATCATTTCACTCTTCACTGATCAGAGTACAAAACTAGAGTTTGGGGATCAGCACTTAGCACCTTGTTCTTAATAGGTATAGCAATCAGATTGGTGAAGTGACTTGAAGCTATTTCCTAGGAAGAGCATTCAGAAGAACCATCTAAGATCAGTCTGCTGAAGAGAAGATTCAATGAGTCTTGTTAGCTGCTTTCAGAATTTGTCTTTAAGGTGTAGAACCAGTATGAGAAGCCACAGAGATTGATTTTATCTCAACACAAGGGAGAACTTTTGTATATGGAAGTGTTTTTTAAACTAGTGCATGTTCATTGCAAAAAGAAAAAACCCCACAAACAAAAGTGTAAATGATAATTGTCTTCCACTCTTCAAAGAAAACTGCTTTGAAGACTGTGAGATATAATCCTAGCTAAGGGTTTTTCACTGAGAGCCCTATTGACATCTTGGGCTGGATAATTCTTAATTGTGGGAGGACTGTTGTTTTCCATCATCCTGCCTTCCCACTAGACACTGGCACCTTCCCAGTTGTGACAACTTAAATTGACTCTAGACATTTTCAGATGTCCCCTGGAGGGCAGAGTTGTTGCTGGTTGAAAACTAATGTTCTGTACTTCTTCGTGTGTGTACCTGACTTAGGTGATTTTTTTACTCTAAGTGGAGTCATGGTATTCACTGTTTCGTGTCTTCCTGTTTGTCAGATTTGTAAATACACATTTCCTTTGACCCAGCAATTCCTTGTCTAAAAAATTGTTTTACAAAAGTACATATGCAGGGCTTCCCTGGTGGCGCAGTGGTTGAGAGTCTGCCTGCCGGTGCAGGGGAGACGGGTTCGTGCCTAGGTCCGGGAAGATCCCACATGCCGCGCAGCGGCTGGGCCTGAGAGCCATGGCCGCGCTGAGCCTGCGCGTCCGGAGCCTGTGCTCTGCAACGGGAGAGGCCACAACAGTAAGAGGCCCACAGACCACAAAAAAAAAAAAAAAAAAAAAAAAAAAGTATGTATGCATATATCTTTCTCTCATTATGCAAGGGTGTTTATTATAGGAATGCTGTCATTGTGAAAAGCAAAAATCTAAATGTTTATCAGTAGTAAATTGGCAGATAAGTTAGGTACATTCATATAGTAGATTAGTTTGTAATTAAAAGATAAGCTAGATGTATATTATTAAAAAGGAAAGGTGTCCAGAAGTCAAAATAGGAAATCAACATAGCATGGTCCCATTTCCACAAAGAAAATAAGGCATTTTCAAAGTCTGGAAGGATATCAACAGTGATTATCTCTGGAGTATTCCATTATGTGATTATTGGTAAGGTGGGAAACAGAATATCTTTTACTTTAAAATAATGAACCTTTATATTTTTTAACTTTTTACAACATTCTTTGCTCTTATAAATTAAAAAAAAATCTTTCCATTTTGGAAAAAATATATATGGCTACAGTAATTTATTTTGCCTCTTGGCTGTCTGTTTCTTGTACTAAGAGGCAGTAGCCCTGAGCTCCGTTATCAAATAGTAGGCCAGAAAGAACCGTTGAGACTTATAATATTGATAAATAACCAGTGGAGAAGGGTCCAAGCATACTACTTATTAATTATAGACACAATGAAGAATGAGCACATGTCCTACCATCTTAAACTTCTAAGGAGACTGGAGGTGAGTATGTGGAGGAGGGGTGGATTTGTGATTGTCCGAAACATGATCAGACAAATGTGTGAATTTAAATATATGATGCAGCTCTCTCCTGGTAATCAGGATATCACAGCAAGGCTTTTCAGTCCCTGGCAATCCCTTTAATGTTATGATTTTCCAACAACCTGGGTTTGTTGGTTGGCTGTCTGTCTCCATCTTTCCTTCAGCTGTGGCCTCTTTTCCTTACTTGCTTCAGAACTCTTGGAATGAGGTTGGACAAAAGTTACTAGTGTTCGTGGTTTAGGAGCAATAACCATGCCCTAGTACTCAGTGTTGGTCCAAGAATGTAAATACTTGGTCTTTCATAACAAGATGATTCTTTTGGTTGGAAATGACCCCAAATCCAACATAACCGGGTTCACACAATAAACATATGTATTGGCTCATATAAATGATAACTCAAGAGGTGGTGCTAGCTTCACGCAAATCTTGAACCAGCAGATTCACTGTGACTCTCTACCCTGAGGAGTGATGTAAAGTCACCTTTACCATTGGGCTGCCTCCAAGTTGTCCTCTCCTATTCCCAAACTCCTAGATCTAGGTCTTCCCTCTTGGTGGCATGGTGGCTGCACCTGTTCTAGACCTCAAATCCTTTCCCCATACTATCCATGGTAACAGTCTCTTAAATAGTCCCTACACAATTTCTTCTGGCATTTGCTTGCTTTGAGGAAGATATTGGGGAGCGGTGGGGAATATAGAGGCAACCAACAAATGTCTGGTCTACCAGTACTAATCCCCTTTCCCTGCCAAATATTTAGTTATTCTAGACCTAGTCAGAGCTCAGCGTGGTCTTTACTCCTCATTCTGAGCCCCAATTCTGGGTTGTTTAATCTTCAAGACTTTCTTAAGGTAGCAGTAGGATGATGCCAAATCCTGGTTTCTCAAGGAAAGACCCTTATAAATTAGCCATATGTCCAAGGTAAGTTACTTTTTATATAGGATGGGTAATAAAAAATTCAGTGCCAATATGATATCCAGTGGAACAGGGATCAGTAAACTTTTTCTCTAAAGGGCCAGGTGTTAATATTTTAGGCTTTGCAGGCCATTCTCCTGTTTGGTAACCACTCAGCTCTGCCATTATAACATGGAACCAGCAATAGGACAATATCCAAATGAATAGGTGTGGCTGTGTTCCATTAAAACTTTGTTTACAAAACAGACTTTGTTCTGGATTTGGCCCTTGGGTGGGTTTTTACTAACCTCTGTAGAAGTTTTTTACTAACCCCTGACTAAGAGAAGTCAGGCTAGAAATTGTCCTATTTTTATTTGCAAGACTACTTTTTAGAATACTTTTTAAAATCAGCACTCTCGAAACATAGGGACAAGCAGAAAGTCATGGTCCACGAGGTTGAACAGGAAAAACACATGTAAGAATTATTCATATTTGGCCAATTTTTCTTGGCCAAATTTAGCCTGATGTAGCCTGAGAGCTAGAAGTAGCCTTACACAAAAGAGCTGTGTGGTTCTCTTTATAAGGTGTTACAGAACAGGCAAAAGTAATCTATGGTGAAAAGGGTCAGTTCTAGATTGTCTGGGGGTGGGGTGTAGAGGTTGGGAAGAGGATGAGGGAACTTTCTAGGGTGGTGATGTATATATCTTGGTAGAATTTTGTATTACACAGGTGTATTAATTTGTCAGACGTATCTATGTATGCTTAAGATGTGTACATTTCACTAAATGTAAATCTTACCTTTGAAAAAGGAGCCATAAATAAATAATGAACTCTGGTCAATGATATACATGCTGAAGTACTTAGGAGGAAATACTATTAATGATGCACAACTTAATTTGAAAGCCATTGAAAAATGATATGGATCAAATGGATGGGTATGTTCAAATGGATAGAAAATGTTCATTGTAGAATATATCCATATGGATATATGGATGTTTGCTGTGTAATTCTTCCAACGTTTATATGTTCTCTAAATTTTTCATAATACGATGTTGGGGGAAAAATAACCTTTAAATGTCAAAAAATGATTAATGATAAGCAGCAGAGGAGGGAAAGTGAAATTTTTTTGTGGTGGTCAGAGAAAGCCTTGCTCAGAAGCTGACTTTTGAGTAAGAATCTAACAGAAATGAGATTGTTACTTGGGGGAAGAACATTCCAGTGAGAATATCAAATGCAAAGGTCCTGAGGTGGGAATGTACCTGGCCTATTTGTGGAATAATAAAGTTGCCATTATGGTTGCCATGGAGTGAGTGAGGGGAAGGGAGTAGGAGCTGAAATCAGAGAGGTAACTGCAGACCAAATCATGTAGAGCACTTCAGGCCATAGTAGGGCTTTGGCTTTTACTCCTGAGTGAGGTAGGAAGCATTTGGTGGATTTTGCGCAGAAGAAATGTGTTTTCTCAGGATCACCTGACTGCAGGTGAGCAAGGGCAGAGCAGAGAGACCAGTAGCTATTTAAAAAACCAGGTGCTATATGATAGTGGCTCCACCCAAGGTGGTGAAAATGGGTTGAATTCTGGATGACAAAACTGGCTGACAGGATGTGAGATGAGAGAAGTTGAAGTAAGCCTGGCCCTAAGGTTTTGGGCCTGAGCAACTGGAAGAATGGAGTTGCCATTAA